TGACTTTTTGTTCCTGCAACGTGTAGGCTTTTCCATTCTAAGCACAGAAACAGCACAGCTGAGAACGAGTGTAGATGGATAGAGTTTTTATGTTTTATTTAGCTCTGCTTTTGAGAAACCTATTTTCTGATGCTGGCTTTAAGGAGAATCTAAGATAAAGGATGTTGACAGTCACTACTATTAAAACAGTACTGATCTAACCCAAAGAAACCTGTAATTCTCTCCTTCCCTCTTAACAGATCCACACCAGCAACAATTATTTCTTATTTTGATGCGCTGCTGAATGGCTTATGTTGTCCACACACATTAAACCAATTTTGCCCTAACCCACAAGCTGAGATCACTTATTCTTTCCTATAGTCTGTGGCTTAAGGTTTGTTTAATTTTCACAAATTATGTATGATGGTCCAAATTTCCCTCCTCAGGCCTGTAGTTCATTTCATATCCACGGTGCAGAAATACGTGTGTTATGAAGTTGTTGGTTTAAAGGATGTGACATTTAATTTGGCAAGTGGGTAATGTTTTTCGCTGTCCTAAAGCGTAAAAGTACGTATAATTGTGACAGAATTAAGTGGTTGAGGTTTTAGTTTACTGGTGTTTCCTGTTAAGTAATTGTGATGGTGTTTTTTAATTTTGTAATCTGTATTTTTAAGAGTGAGGGAGGATGAATTTTTGTTACTATGCCTTCATTTCTAATCTCTTTGTGAATGAAAAGCTATACAGGCACAAATCCAGCAGCTTAATTCTCCATCTGATTAGAGCAATGTTACCAACCCGATAGGTCGAAAACAGCCAAGATCTGTGCAGTGGCTTAGCCTCCTGGGAGGCAGTGTAATAACAATCAAATGAAGACATATTAAAATGTAATATTACTTCCTCTCCACGGGGACTGTATAAGAATCATAGCCAGGAACTATTCTTGTCAGCTGATTCTGTTTTGCTCACTGATTCTCTGCCCCTGCATTTATGACTAATGCATTTCATACAACAATCAGAGCTTGTGAAGTTTTAAAAGCAAATGAATGTAAAGCATCAGTCATTGATTTACATGAGTTCCTTTCTTAACAACAAATGTGTATATATATATATTATGACACACAAACACACACACACACACACACACACATATATATATAATATTGGTATTTCAAAGAAGGGAAAGCAGAGCTGGCATGAAATTCTTTGGTCCAAATGAATTTATTTCTGCTTGTGTTAAATGAGATTATATATTAAGAAAGAGCTTCGTGAAACAGAAAATGTACAGTTTCTTCTCCAAAGTAAGAGACTGCGTCGACAGACTCTTAGCCATAATTTCATATGAATTCATTTTCTCTTATAGTTGAAAGCCTATGCTTGTATTCCTTACAAAATGACAGTTGAAGTTGTATTCAAGGAATGCAGATACATGGGGTTCGTGTAGATCTCAAACATCATTTTTTACTTACTAATGAAAAAATATCAACTAAAAATTATGATTTTGTCAAAAATTTTAGGGCAATTACATGGATTTATTTGTAGGTGTGGTTAGACTGTAAATAAGAGTAATGTATTGTGCTTTTGATAGTGATTAGTTTTGCAGTTGACACCAATGGAACAGAACAGGTCTCAGAAAATTGGAGGTAGCTATCCATCAAAAGATTAAAATTTTGTTACTAATACTTAGTTTTAGTTTCGTATGTATTAATTTTCCTTTAGTTTCTATATTAATATAAAATAAAGTGTGGGATCCTGAGAAAATTTAATACTCATGAGAAACTTCATAGTAATTATTAATTATTCTTATTAATGTTAACATTTAAGTAGTATCTAGTCTTAGCACAAGGTCATGTGAATGTGAGTAAATTTCTCTAAATATATCCATATTTGGACCTAAAAGTTTAAAAAATGCTCTTTTATTTATACACATGTATGTAAAAATAAACTGCAAGGGGGGTCTAAAATTTGATCGTGTAAACAATTGGAGAGTAGCCTTTCCCTCTTAACATAACATAAGGATCTTGTGTTATGTTTCTGAGTTCATACCCAAATCTGTATCACAGACACTTTTCTTTCTCTTTTTTTAATACCACATCAGTATAAGCAGAGATCCAGGTACAGCATTACTTTTCTGCAGAACTGTGAGTGTAATGGAGGCGTTTGGATGGTAGCAAGTATAATTTTCACTTGAAGATCAATATAAAAAGACAGTGGCAAGCATTTGAGGAATATTTTGTACTTGTTCCCTTGTTTGACTTTTGCGCACTATACTGTCAAGGGGTATTAGCAGTGTGAAACTGTTTTCTCTGATGTCCCAGATTACTTCTCCCTCTCTGTGTCATTTTTCAAAGCTTAGAAGTATGTGTTTAAAACTACCCACATTCTTCCTGGTACGCTAGGGATATGTGAGGTTATATTTCGATAGTCTTAATGAATTTTGAAAAATAATTTCCTCCAGTGGCCTTGGGTAATTGTCAGTTTAATTACAGGGAAAAGCTGAGATGGAAACTTTGCTTTGTCACTGAAATACTCCTCTTTGAAAATTCTCTGTTCCTCAGGATGTAGCACTCTCTACTCTGAGCTATAACATAGGCTTTCAGAAAACCCCTTGAAGAACTGTGGAAAAAGCGAATACTTCTGCAAATTCATTCATCTGACATCAAAGCTATGAAAGCATTCTTTTAGCAAGCAAGTGAGGCAGATTGAACTCTCACAAGCACACAACCAGACTCATTGTATGTTTGGTCTCTCTCATTTGGAGACTGTATTTGAAGTAATTTTGCATTCTTTTTGCTGTCTTACTTTCTTATTTCTGTACTGAGGTCAGACTGCATCCTCTGCATCTTATTGAGATCTCCTGCTCTGTAGGTTAAATGGATAGGCCTTTAAAGAATAAAAAGACATTGATGTTCAGAACAAGCAGCACTCCATTCAATTAAAATCAAGAAAAAGGTGGTTAAAGAGCTGTGAACCCCCATAGCCTAGATTAAAAAGCAAACGAAGAATTACAAAAAAGGAAGACAAAGTCAGTGTTTATTAGTTGTACTTTCAGTTGACGCTCAGCTTTGGTATTTCTATTTACTGCTTTTTTCCCTTGTCCTTGTGCTCTGGTACACTGGCAAATAGGTCATAAAAAACACTTTCAGCAAAGACACATTTGATTTATGTCCAGAACTGGTTCTTAGTATTGATTTTTTTTTTCCCTCTGGAAAAAAAACAAAAGAAAACAAAACTATATGTCTCCATTATTTTTTGAGCCTGGCAATACAGTGGCACATTTCAGATCTGTTTTTATCTTAAATTACTCATTGTGCTATTTTATATTTTAGAAGTCTTCCCAAGTCTGAAAAAATCAGTAGTTTAATGTACTTCCCTTGCCATGATTTGAGGGCAAGGGGAGAGGGGGGGGAGAAAATAAGAGGAACTGGGAAGGCCTGTATACAGGGAAACGGGAATTTTAGGAGAAGAAAGCATGGTTTGGGAAGTTTGTATGGTGGCTGTAATTTGAGTTAGTGACAAAAGAGGCAGGAGTGGAACAAAACCAAGAAGTAGATCAAAGGCTAGGAAGCAGGGTTCAGCAGTATGGGGTTTATATCTTTACAGCTAGAGAGAAGATTAAGAGCAAGAAAAATACTGCCATGGGGCTAGGAAGACATTGTGAGGGAATAAGGAAATATACGTTGAAAGAAAATCCCCAAGGAAGCAGAAAGAGGAGTGTGAATTAAAAACAAAGATCTGAGCAGTTTGAAGCCCTTGTTGAATCAGATCCCTAGCTGAAAAGAGGTAGGCACACATAGAAAAGTGCTGCTTAAGCTGTTTGCCAGAACCACAGCAAGCTCTGCTCTCTCATTTTCCATTTGTTTTCTCCAGTTGGTGGCCTGGTATCAGTGCGTGAGCATGTGTCTGCTTGCTTGCGCATTTCGGGTCTTGCATACATAGGTCCAAGAAATGACAAGAGTGCAGGAGAACACATGGTTTTGGGACCTGTTGGTGGGGGTCACTGAGGGGCTGTTTCCCTGCCTGGCTCATATGAGGTGTCCCCATTGTGTGAGCCTGGCCCAGTCTCTCTGGAGCCACCCCACAGAGGCTTGCTGTGCCAGCATCATGGCTGGGCATCAGCACACGCTGGTGGCAGCTGGGCCTTGGCATGGGTTGTGGTGGCAGTGGTGCCCAGTGTCCAGGAGCTGCCAAAGGGTTTTCTGGCAGCTGACAAGACTGTGCAGTCCTCATTGTGGTGGTGGTGGTGACTCAAACTGTTGGACTCTCCCCGGAAGCTGTGTTTTGCACACACGTCAGCTTGTAGTGACAGGATTATGCGGGGGTGTGCAGTCCCAGCAAGTGTGGAGATAAGAGAGAACAATATAAATACAGGGGAAAGCACCCGCTTGTTTGCATGAGAGGAAGGTTTTTGTGAGAAGGGAATGTGTGTCCCCACACCAGCCTGCCCCAACAAGGAAGGCTCCTCAATGCTGAGAAAAGTGAGATTGTACTTTCAAATATTAAATGGTTTTCCAATCAGTGCAGAATCTCAGCTTTCACCTGGGTCTTTTGTACGCCTTCGCTTCTTCCAGCAGGAGATTTGTAATAGAGGAAGCAGGTGTAACGTGGTGATTATAAAGATATTGTTGAAAAAAAAAAAACAAAAACACCAACAGGGTGAATTTCCAATGCTTTGCTCCTTTGAGACTGCCAGGGCTTCCCTTTCAGCTGACTGCATTACCTTTTAGCAGGTGCTGTGTTTTCGTCCAAGTCAGCCAGTCAATTGTGTGCAGAAAAAAACTTGCTGGGTAAATTTGAAACCTTGATAACACATTCCTCCATTTGTATGTATTGTACAGCTTACCAATGTATTCATTCCTTTGGCTTTCAACATTTCACAACTTTCCATAGGTCAGCCTGAGCAAGAAGGACAGATCTTGGTAGACTGAAAGATTTCTGCTTTCAGACACTCATGTTCACATTACTTTGCCTGTTGATTTCCTGATTTTATTTTTATTTTATTTATTTTATTTTTTTTTAATCAGCAACATCAAATGGGTCTTTGGAGGGCCTGAATAACCAGGAGGGAGGGGTGTGCCAGACAAAAACCATGAAGATCCTCATGAAAGTTGGACAAGGTAAAGACCATCTGCTGTTTCATGAAACAACTTTGATCAGTCTCAGTGTCCTTTTAGTTTTCAGGCTTCTTTTGCAAGCATAGAGCAGTGAGCCAGCTGAGTCTAGTGTGGTTGTTCCTCCCTTACAGTCTGAAAGCAAAGCCTATTTTCTGCTCCTCAGCTACTGACAGATTTCTGCAGGAGGAGGGTTGGTGTAATAAGATCTCTTCAGTGGAGAGCTCCCTAGGAGGAAAGGTCACCTGGGAATTACGTGTTTCAGTCATTTTTATTTTCATTTTAAAAACAAAAGCCACAACTGCGCTGTTCAAAATTATTTAAAATGCATGAAAGGAGAGAAGCTAATATTTCTATAGTTTGCTTGTTATGAATTCTGATTACAGAGAGGTTTTTGTTCATTGTCTCTTCATATATAGATAACCTATTGTGCAGAAAGAAAGAATTATTCTTCTAAGCAGAAGTTGGTTTAGTAGTCAATCAACTTCCTCAGTTAAAATGAAATGTCATCTGCAAAGCTTTTCTTGCCAATTACAGGAGTCCCTATAGTTTCTGCAGATGGCCTCACAATTTAAACCTCTGAAATAACTAATATAACCATTTTGCTTTAAAAGGAAAATTACATTCTTGTTTCTCCTAGTCCTTTGCATAAAGATTCTTCTGTTCAAAGCTATTCGTGTCTCACAAGATACCTATAGCCGGCTTATAAAACTTAATATCTTCGGGCGCCTAAGCTGCAGTGAGTCGTTTTTCTCTCCCACAGATCCCAATTCTGCAGGGTTACCTCGGAGCACAGACCCAACCAAGCGCCCTGAACAGGAAGCTGGTACAAATGGGAAGAGCTCCACCACGAGTCCCTTTGTGAAGGACCACTCAGGTAGGTACTATAAGGTTTTCCCTTGGAACAGAAAGGCTCTAGCATATTCACCTTTGTTCCCAAATATGGGTTTTTTTAAGCATTAAAATGTTGGAAAAGCAAATGTTTTCACACTGAGATGACACAAAAGCCAGTTCTGATGTTCTGGTGGATAGAACTTTGGAACTTCTGTTTTTTGCAACAGCTGCTCTTTCCCCTCTTTCTGCAGTAGAAGTTAATTACATCTTGTAAGAGTATCACTCATTTACAGGAAAGTTTTTGGATAGGGCATTCTCTAAGAAGCTTTACGATGGTAAATGCTGCCTTACATTTAGTACTCTGGCAGATGAACGAGTCTTTCTGTCTTTCTCTTCCCGTATAATACATTATCAAGTGGTTCTCAACAGCCATTTATAAAGTTTATTTCAAGACATCTATAATTCATGTCCTGATGTTTTAATTGACCATATAAAGTCTACATATGATTGACCGGTCTTTCACTAAATTTAAAGATTAAAAAACAAACAAGCAAACAAACAAAAAAAATCCAAGATAAACAGATGGGGTGGTTCAAAACAAAAATCTTGAGGATGCATTTCAGGTATTATAGGCAAGAAATTGAATAACTTTAAAAACACAAGTTCTCTGGAAGAAAGTTCGGTGAACTGGAAATGTTACAAAGCAAAATTTGCTGATAGTTGATTTTGGGGTTCCCAAAAATGGCTACATATTTTCCTTGCTAGCTTCATCACTTGATATCATTGATATGACAGTTCCTGGGCAGGTTTCAGACATTTCCTGCTGAGGTTCCAGATGTTATGAGGACATAGTATCTGCAGCATTGTTCTACCTGTAAGACAGCATCAAGAGAGGGAAGTCAGTTCAGATTTTCAAGTGAGAAGGTCTCAAGTAAATGTTGATTTAATTTCTGTGACAAATAATGTGACAATATTCAACTCGCTATTCAGCAATTGAGCCTTTCCTGACTACCTCATATGTGCTGTTATTTTCTTTTAAATAAATGTAAGATACATAATATAAACAAATATAGTCCGTAGACATTTTACTCATCGTTCACACTGTCCCAAGCTCTTTTGTTTCATTTGTAAGCATGAGGAGTCCACATAAAGAGACGCTAAGGACAGTTAAATCAATATCGGAAGAATAAAATAGCAGAATTGTGTGACACTAAACAGTACCAGTTGTTTTGAGAATTACTGTTTCACTGTGTTAATTTTCCCTTGCAGTCCTATCCCACCCCTTTCTGCTGCCATGAGCTGGCCAGCATCTGTTAAAAGATGCTGTGTGCATCAAAGGCTGCCTTGTCAGTGCCAGTCCTCACTGCTGATGGATGATGATGTATGAAACAGGGTGGCTTGGGAACAGCACAAAAGTGAGACCAACAGACACAAAGTCTTGTTTAATATTGATTGCTGACTTCGGCTGTTTGCATTTAGCTATCTAACAGGGTAATTGGTTTGTCAAAGTATAGCTGTCAGTTAATTCTTCTAGCTTTGCTTACTCTACACATTTTTAAGCAGTGTAAACAGGTCACAGGATGGCAATAACTTTTGTCTGTTGTATTTCCATTCTTTCCAGGATCTAGCACAGATGGCAGTAAGGCTGGGCATTCCAGTATACTGGGTTCAGAAGTGGCCTTATTTGCAGGAATTGCATCAGGGTGCATCATTTTCATCGTCATCATCATCACTTTGGTGGTTCTATTATTGAAGTACCGGAGAAGACACAGGAAGCATTCCCCACAGCACACCACGACTCTCTCACTTAGTACATTAGCCACCCCAAAACGCAGTGGCAACAACAATGGTTCTGAGCCCAGTGACATTATCATTCCTCTAAGGACTGCAGACAGTGTTTTTTGCCCCCACTATGAAAAGGTCAGCGGCGACTATGGACATCCAGTGTACATAGTTCAAGAGATGCCTCCTCAGAGTCCAGCAAACATTTACTACAAGGTCTGAAAAACACTCCACTGATTCTGTGGTACAGTTGAGGCGTAGAGGACACTCACTGGTCAAACGCTTTCTGTTGGGGTTTGTGATGACGCCTTGTGCGCTAGCATTGACTCAAGCACAGAGGGAAGAAGGCAACAGCTATTTCTATGAGAGCCAACTCGAGCTGGACAGCTAACCTAGTCTGTAGAATTCCTATCTCAGTGAATTGATATTCACTAAAAGCTGGAAGACTTTTATGTAGAAGATGCCCATTCTGATTGCTGTACTCTTGTTACATTCATCATCCTCAAAGCCATGTGCTGCAGGCCTTCAGGCATGTACAAAAGCCAAGGGAAGATGGAGTGATCTGTGGATGTTAATAGCTCTAGGCATCCTGGGAAGGTGCTGTAGGATATCAAGCTTGAAATACAATCTTCTGACTTTTGTGTGTCTCTCTCAGTGCATACTAGATTTGTCACACAGACCTTGGTGTCTAAGTAACACTTGCTAAAGTTCTCTTGCTTTAGTCCGTCACTGTTCCATTTATTTTTGTTATTCAGGGCTCTGCCATCCTTCACATAAGATTTGCTTTCACTCCACCTCCTGAATCACTAATGGAACATTAATGTTTAGAGATGCGTGCTCCATCCATCTGCTACAGCAGCCTCACTTGAATGGGCAATGCATTTTTAGAAATTGTGTCTGATAGCAAGGAGCCTTCCAGCCAAAAAGTTAGGCTGTCAACAAGTCAAGAGTAGGACTGGGTGGTGGAGGGAAGGGCTGACTGTGGTTGTGATTGAATGCTGCTGCCTAAAAATAGAAGCTGGGAAGAAAAAAATCATTTAGGTAGCACAGCACTTTGGTATGCTACGTTTTAAGAGGCAAGTAGGAGACACAATAATACGTTGCAGTGACTTAGAGCTGTGTTTGAAGGAATTCACGGTTATCAAATACCAGTGTGCAGAAAAAAAATAGTACCTTCAATACAGTAGAACAAAGGGGTATTGTTAGGAAGTGAACAAGCTTGGAGGGGACAAGACAAGAGCAAGGATATATTAGGGCAGGGCTGTTGCGGTACTGGCAATAAATTATACAGCTTCGAAGCTGTAGCAAAAATGTAGTCTGCTTTGGAAGACTTTTAAGCAGACTCAGCTGCTATACTGTCACATTATACTAAACACAGGGAAAGCATTTAAGAAAATAGCAGAGAGCCAAATCTAACCAAGGTGATTATAAGCCAACGGGTCAAATGAGCTGTAATGCTATCACTGGTAAAGTTTTGGGGAAAAAAACAAACCAAACCTTTCTCATCTCTAAGAGTAAAACAGAATATTTTTCTGACTGAGCCTTTTGACACTTTGGTTTATCCTAGTGCTGTGCCTGCACAGTGCCTGTAGGTACTGTAATGGGCACAGCAGTTAGTTGGTGCTCTGTGGCAAAGTTAAAGCACATATGGCAAACCTCCTGCAGTCCATAAGAATAAAATAAATAAATTATGACACTGAGATGGAGAAGGAAGATATGTCTTATTTATAATAGGTGTATAGAACACAAGGGATACAAAGTGAGAGTTTTTCTTTCTTACTTACTTTTTTGTTTTGTTTTGTTTTTACTAATACATGTTTTGAGATTGCACAGAATCTACACCAGAAGATGTGAATTTCATGTGCGGCAATTAAATAGTCTTAACTTGTCATCATTCTACTTATGTATGTGTGTGTATACATGTACATATATATATATATTTATGTATGCATGTATACACATACATTATAAAGAAGAAACCAATTCTGGGGAAAATGACCACTATCCCAAAAAAATGGTAATCAGAGCATATTAAAAAAAAAATAAATCCGAAGTCCTTTAATGGCATCATGTTAGAGAAAATTGGGAAATAGTCGTGAAGTCACATAGGTAACAACAACAAAGTGTGCCGGCATATATATTCTGTGTTGTGTTTTCTCTTGCCTTATGGACTGAAGTGTTCTGTAGATTTCATTGAGATTTGTAGGCGGGGGAGGGGTTCAGGTTAAAGTTTTCTCTTTAGCATGTCTGTTCCCCTACGTCTCCCACCCTGGGGAGGAAATAAGAAAACTCTACTTTTATATGTGCTATGCAAATAGACATTTCTAACATAGTCATGTTACTATGGTAACACTTTGCTTTCTGATTTGGAAAGAAAATGTAGCAACAGCATTTTGGGGTTCTTAGATCTCTGTTGAGCACCTGCAAGAAAAGAAAAAAAAAAAAATCTGTCATAGAAATTATCACTCTCTGTTTCTTGGACCTGAAAATGACGTTGAGATGTTGGTCCAAATGAGAGAAACAAAACAAAAAATCCCAACCCATGGATCTGTGGAAGGTTACCATGGTGACTAACTACACTACATATGTAATTCTTTTCAACAACCCTTCCTTTCTGTGAATCCATCCATACAAGGTTCTCTTGTAAGTCATTAAGATTTTATTTTGGGGGAGGGGGAGGAAGGGGTGGGTTTGCTGATCCTGATTTTTATCAGATTGAACCTATGCTTTATCAGCTGGCTACATTCTAGTTATGTACTAAACTGTGAAAAAAAATAAATCAGATGAATTGCTGAAGAGCAACCTGCAACCAATTGAAAAAAAAAAAAGTGTACTGTGTGTCTGCTTTGTGTCTGGTGCAGAATTATGACAATCTACCAACTGTTCCTTTATCTGACGTTGGTTCAGCTTTGAAAATTACTGTAAATGCCTTGCTTGTATGGTCATCCCTAGTCACCCGACCTGAAATTTGCACCATCATGTCTAAGTGAAGATGCTGTAAATAGGTTCAGATTTACTGTATATGGATTTGGGGTGTTACAGTAGCCTTATTCGCCTTTTTAAATAAATCTCAATTTAAAAAAAAAAAACAAAAAAACACGTGAAAGCAAGAAAAAATGGCTTTTCTTAACCAGATTGTGTATATAAAGCAATGTTGGTTTTTTATAAAGTCTGAGCAAGATGTTTTGTATAAAATTTGAATTTTGCAATGTATTTAGCTACAGCTTGTTTAAAGGCAGTGTCATTCCCCTTTGCACTGTATTGAGGAAAAAAATGGTATAAAAGATTGCCAAATTGCCGCATATTTGTGCTGAAATTGTGTACCATGAATATTTATTTAAGAATTTCTTTGTCCAGTTTGTAAGTAACACAGTATTATGCTTGAGTTATAAATAATTTCTTCTCTTTTTTTTGTTTTGTTTTTCTTTTTTTTTGTCGTTGTTGTTTGTTTGTTTTGGTTTTTTTTTGTTCTGTTTTTAAAATAGCCGGTAATAAGTTTGAAATCTGCTTTAGTTCCACACTGCAGTTAGCTCCCAGCAAATGAAAATTATGAAAAATCACATTCCACGTCTGTTTCAAACTGAATTTGTTCTTAAAAAAATAAAATATTTTTTTCCTATGGAAACCTTGCCTTCTAAGTATGTTCTTCTTTTTATTTTTGTCATATATTTAAGTAAGAAAGCCATCAAGCATACCTCTGCCAGCCCCTCCTTCCTTTCCTGTCTGTCTCTCCTCCCCCATCTCTCTATCCTGGATTCACCTGGTTCATAAACAAACAAGCTCCTTACAGCATACTGACTTCTGTTAACCTCCTTATTTTCCAGACTTCTGCTTACACATATCAATGGATTTAAAACACACAGAAGTCAGTGAGTTTGTAGTAGGTACAGTAAACAGCTTGCCTGGATCATATGGGAGGTGAGATTATAAACACACAGATAATTCCTAGAAATTATGGGGAGGATTTATATTGTGGGAAGAGCCAGAGGAAAAGAAAAGAAAACAAGACATGGACACTTCTGGGTGCTGTTGCTGCTGCTCATGAAGAGGAGGACCAAGCCTGGGACATTGGGGCTGAGTAAGAAGGAGAAGGAGATGGAATAAGGTGGGAGGAATGGTGAAGAATTAAAAAGAGCATGATGTCAAAACATCTGAGCATGTGTCTTTCAGTGGGGCCATGCAATGTCCTGTCCCTGCTTCACTGCTGTGAATAGGGCACTCTGAAGTCACTTGTTGTCAAAGCCAAGCTAAAGAAGTTTGGTGCCAGTGTACACGGGTGACACAATCCTTAACACATTTTACGGTTGCGTTGCTCTAATTTTCACTTGGTTAATCAGTCCTTGCATTTAACAAATACATTAATTTCTGGGAAAGTCCAATCACCTTGAAAGTGAAGGAACTGTCTTTAGCATGCTAGCAGTGCATAAACGGCAGGATCATTCACGGACTAACAGGTGGGAAAGATCAGCAGAGGGGAAAGAGGCATTCATCACTGTAACAACTGATGCACATTTTTCATTGAAGAAAGGCAGCAAGTTATTATGGTATCGCTCCTGCAATTCCCATTTGTCAAATTATTTTTTTTATGACTAGTCAGGGAAAAAGTGACTGACTGCAAAGGTAAACTTTGAGGCATTGTATGTGTTGCAGTAGCACAAATGTTCTCAAAGTAGGTTTATGCAAGCCCTAGAGACTACTAATAGTTGGGCTAGCATGGCCTCTTGCTGGTGGAGCTCATTTTATCAACCCAGCTCACAGAATCAGTGCTGGAGGTTGATCTTGGAGGGCAATTCACATTCAGGTTCCCCTCCTGCCTCTGCTGTATATGACCCTGGGGGAATTCCTTTGTCCAGCAGAAAGCTGTGCCCTGGTGGAACTTGTGAGCATCTGCTGATTTCTCATGTAATTCGCTTGGGCCTAATGCTGCATTTATGGCCATGAGTTACCTCAAAGGAAATATTCCTGTGTAATCAGAGGTATAGAAATACTTAGATGGATCAAGACTCCCTGCTTTGTGCCTGCACATGGGGAATTTCACTTGCTCATCTTGGTGGCTTGTGGTAAGAGTTGCCATGTCAGTAGTGGCTGTGTGGCTCTTATTAATGCTGTGATCCACACTAAAAGCTTTTCTAGTACACTTGTCTGTTAGAACTGCAACTACCTAGCTTATTTAAGGTTTAGATTGAGTGCTTTTATTTTAGGCCTTGGTAAACACCCAGAGAAAAGTGATAAAATTAATTTGATTGAGTCAAGCTTACATGTCATTTTCATTTCTGTGCCTCTTTTCTCCATGCATGATAAACATTATTATATAATTATAATATTTTTAGCTAGCATGTATACTGACACCCCCACACACCTATTTTTGTCACTGTTTTAGCAATAAGGCAAAGGAGTTTTGTTGTAAATGGGGAATGAATGCTTGGTGGTGCAACTGTATAGATACACTTGGGGAAAAGGATGCTATGTTAATGGAAGGGCCTTGCACACACATTCACACATAAAACTGAGCCCCCACTGACTCCGTTAAACTGATCGTAGTTAATGATAGTCAATGCTATTTAGTAAATAGCATAAAGCTATTAACTTATAACCTGTCTTTTATAACTTGCAGAGGAAGAAAAACATCATGGTTGCATTTTGCACTGCTGCTGACACTGCACTATTAATTATCAAACAAGCACAAAATCAGAATTTACTGCCTTTATTATGAAACTGGCTCCCTGGCAAGAACTAGTCCACGTCAATAGGCTTTGCTAAGTGGAAAATAAAATTATAATTCACAGTTGTTATCCATCTAGAGTGGAATAAGATTCTATTACATAAAAAATTGCTTTACAATGTAAGCATAACAGTGTTACTACCTGTGTTTAAAATGTTGTACCTCTTTCTTTAGCTGTGCTGTGATGCATTGATCAAATGCTTGCTCAGTCAGCAGCATGCTCATTCTGTTCTGTGTGCACTGTAAATTTCCTTTTTGCAGAAAAGTTTAAAATTGTGTAGCGGTTAGCAAAATAAAACAAAAACTCATTTTTTCTCAGAGACATTCTTCACCTTTGTAGCCAAAATAGAAATTGTAGTGAGAAAAAGCCCAGGCTTTTAAAAACACCGAATGTACTCATTATGCAGTTGGCATGTCATTACATGAAGCATCAGATCAAAAATCAAGTAATATTTGTTTTGGAAAAAGAGGAAGGTTGAAGAATATACCACAGTGTATTCATAGTTGTGCCATTCATAATTCGTATGGTGCCAGATTCAGCTGACTGAGCTATAATCTATGAAATAAAATAATATCTGTTTTTCACATGACTCATAGATATACTTTGATGCTTAATTAAAGCATAATGCAACACATAAAACTGCGGGACTCATGGGGGAACTAGAGTTACCATTGGAAGTTTAGTGTAATGAGATCCTTGCCTGTGCTTGGATCTTGCAATAAGAGATGAGGTTGTGGCAAATGCTTGTTGAAGAGAAGACTCTGAGGTGACCTGACAGCCACCTCTCAGAATCTAAAGGGGAGCTACAAGAAAGAAGAGGGTGGACGTTAGCAGTGTCTGCTGTGATAGAAAAAGGGGAAATGGTTTAAAGCTTCAAGAGGTTAGATTATGGTTAGATACAAGGAAAAAGTCTTCCACAGTGAGGTGGTGAGGCACTAGAACATGTTGCCCAGAGATGTGGCAGATGCCTCATCCCTGGAAAATTTAAAGTGAGGATGGATCAGGCCCTGGGCAGCCTGATCTAGCTGTGGATGTCTTTGTTCATTTCAGAGGAGTCAGACTAGATGGCCTTTAAATGCTCCTTCCAACTTTAAGGAATCTATGATTCTAAATGGGGACTGGCAAGTTTTACAACTTATGGGCAAGAGCCTGCCAACACTTGGTGAGGATGGGGAGAAGCTGCAGGTGGCTCTTCCTGGAGAAAGGCTTCATGCAGAGCAGAGGAAGTAGGAGAGGAGAGAGAAGGCCAGTGAGCTAGCAGCAGCTGCCCATGGAAGAGGTCTGGGGACATCTGAAATTACAAATCCCTGGGCAAAAATCAGATCAAGAAGACAAGCTCAGCTGTGGAAGGAGGAAGAGAGACAATGTCTTCACAGCTCTGATAGAGGGTTCAGTGGAGAACAGGTAACAGCAAGTAGAAGAAACATATTAGAGGAAAGGCAAATAAACACAGTAATTTCTTGTGTTGGCTGTTGTTATGAAAATGTGAGGAGACCAGACCAGGTTGCTCTGCTAGACACTGAAGGACAAAGACGGTATACCAGAACTCGATGTTGTTTGCAAGCTGGGATCCTGAGAAAGGGGATCAAAGGTCTGCAAAAAAAAAAAAAAAAAAAAAAAAGTGAGTAACTATGGATTATTAAAAGTCTGAACAGCAGAGAACATTGTGCATAGCTCTTGAAACCTATGGAAAAAAATCAGTATTTTCATAAGTACGTTGAGGAGTCATTAAAGAGGAGTCATAAATTTAATAATATGAAGAATCCATTGAGGGTAGGAAAACTGATTGCTTCTAGATCAGGCCTTCCGTGGATATATTAGCATCGTTCAGTTTGGTATCTGATCCTACTTATCATAGTTCAGAAGTGCACATGCATAAGCAATACTCATACAGATTTTATTATACCTCTTACACTATGAGAAAGTGCTTTACAAGAGTGTCATCTTGAATATTATAAAGGCTGTTCTAAAAAACATATCAACAATGACATGCTTTTCTAAGATACTTCTATAGCTATTGTAATTTGTACAGTATTGAACATCATCAGCAATTTTGTTGTATCTGTTCATTAAAAATAGGTTGGATTACTATCAAATACATAATAAAAAACAGTTCACATTTTAATGTGCCTTTTTGTCCTCTCTTGCAATTTTTAAACTCATTCCTTCCTACTCCTGCATTCAGTCCTATTCCATAAACATAAATGGCAGGTCAGCTGTCTGCTGTTTTTAGGTTTTCTATTCATCTGCACACACCATTGTCTCAGTATTTCCAAGTCTCGCAATTAGCTGCAAATACTGAAAGTTGGTTTTCTTTAAATTTTACTGTTGGAATTTGACATGTTGAAAGACGTGAACAATTCAGTAATTATTCAGAAGAAATAGCATTTCAGCCTTTGTCACAGTGAAGAACACTAATGGATGTGGAACAGTTTGCCCAGAGAGGTGATGGATGCCCCATCCCTGGAGGCATTCAAGGTCAGGCTGGACAAGGCTCTGAGCAATCTGACTGAGTTGTATATGTCCCTGTTCATGGCAGGGACTAGACAACCTGTAAGGGTCCCTTAGAACTCAAATGATTCTATGATCCTCTGTGAGGCCAGAAGGGTCAGAAGTCAGAATATGATGCAAAATGTCTCCTCGTGTGTCAGTCTGAAAAAAATCTCAAAAGTTTGAAGAAATCCAAATGATGATAACACAAATGAAAAAAAAAAAAAAATGATATCGGCTGTCTTTGTTTCACATTCTCTGCATTATGTGTCACATATCCTTTTTGTGATGTGAGTTTTCCAGATTGCAAAACTGGCTTCAGGCGGTAAAATTCATACTGCTAATTCTGGAGGTCTTCTACTGACTTTCCAAGACAGAAAATGGTAGCTGCATTCCTTTAGCCTTTAAGCCT